TGGGTCCTTGATGCTTTCTGAGTTTGGTGGGTTTCTTACAGATGTTTCGTGAGCCAACTAGAGAACATAAGTTCTAGAAATGGAAGGAAGGAGGAGGACTGTGGGGTCCTGGGTGATCTGTGAGGTTTTCTTGCAGACATTTCATGACCCAACTAGACAACATCAGAGGGAGGGAAGGAAGGAAGACAGACTCGGGGGTCCTTCGGGCTCTCTGAGCTGCGTGGATTTCTTGAAGACGTTCCATGACCCAACTATGGAACGTCAGTGTTAGTAAGGCTAGCACTGATGATGCTCCCTCGTTTGGGTCATGAAATGTCTGCAAGAAAACCACCAAGCTCAGAGACTGCCAAGGACCCTACAGTAGTTTTCCTCCTCCCCCTCTTCCTCCATCTTCTCATCCCCCTCCTCTCCATAAACCCCCTTCCCTTCTAGAACTTATGTTCTCTAGTTGGCTCACGAAACATCTGTAAGAAACCCACCAAACTCAGAAAGCATCAAGGACCCACAGTCTTCTCTTCTACACAAACCCCCCTCCCTTCTAGCACTGATGATGTTCTGTAGTTGGGTCATGAAACACGCCCCCCCCCCAGCTCAGCACCAAGGATCCCACAGTCTACTCGGCCTTCTCCTTCCTCCTCCATTCGAGCACTGATGACATCCCCTAGTTGGATCATGAAACATCTGCAAGAAACCCACCCAGCTCAGAGAGCAGCTGTCAGGTTCTGGGAAATAAAAACAGGACACCAATGCTGGATCTAATCCTTGTTTATGTAACCGGTACTTACTGACCACCCACTGTGATTACAATGGAAAAAATTGTTGGGAGCTAAAGCTCCATGCTCCCCACCACCTTATGAACCTTTCCCCTGGCCCCACCCAGGCTTCTCGTGTTAAACCCCTCCCTCAGCACCCAATTAGTTAGTCCATCCAATTACTAAACCGCAGGCCTTCTAATGTCCCTAGCAACCCCCCCCCATTAGTTCCTCCCATCAATCATGACCACTCCAGGCTCCACTGTCTTCACTAGCCGGCTTCTGGCCACACCCCTTGTGTGTCGGTTGAGGCTGTTGGTAATGGCTGCCGCTCCCAGCAGAGATGAGCTGGGGGTGAGTTACCACCCTCCTGTTGGCAGCCTCAATGCCCAGGCTGACATGCAGCCCCCACTACCATGGAGACTGCGTCTGTAACACAAAGACAATGGTGAATGGTAGAAGCAGAAGAAGGGCCCAACTTCGCTGGGTACCTGCGGTGGAATCTGGCAACCAATCGTGGGGTATTCACTTTGTGGCTCTTTACCCACGATGCCTCGGTTAGCGGGTAACCTTTCAACAGTATAAGGTATTGCAGGTAGCCCCTACGCAGCCTGGTGTTTAATATTTCCTCCACCTCGTAATATTGTCCCCCCCTATCTTCAACCGGACGTGGCCAATCAATGGGAGGGCCCCTGACTCGACCTGTGTTAACTGGTCTGAGTAAACTGCAATGAAAGACCGGATGGTTCTTACCTAACAATTCAGGTAAACACAGTCTTACAGTCACAGGGTTAATAACCCACGTTATAGGGAATGGACCAATATATTTAGGACCCAGTTTT